CTTTTTGGTTTCCATTTTTCTTGGGCAATGTACCTTGTCAGAGATTGATTTTCTAGACTTTAGTAATCATTCTCTAATGTGTATTGAACTAGGGTCATTTTGACCCCCTTCCCTTCTGCATGCTTGCTGTTATGCCAACCTGGAAAGTCCCATGGGAAATGCCAATGTACCAATTGCATTGTCTCACCAACTGTCCAATTCAGCTTCTGTACCTGCTTGCTTGCAGCTATGTCAACCCAGGTGTGGTTTTTGCCTTTAAATATCCTAAAATGCTCAGGTTCTGGGGGCTGTTCCTCGCAGAAACAGTTATGAGTCCTGCGGGGAGCAGTCGCTGGCAGGCCAGCTAAATAAAAACTCTTCAACTTGGACAAAACTGGGATTTAGTGCATTTTCTGAGCAACCTGTCCCACGACATTAGCATGATACCTGCCCTGTGTATTCTTCATCCATTCAACCACTAACTGCCTCCATGGGCCTCTGGACTGTCCTGATGCTGAATACCCTTAACTCTCCAGGTCACACCTGAGGGGGAACAAGGACTTCAGGTCACTTTTCCCCAACTTCACTCTCTTTCAGCAGGATGCAGCAGAATGCGTTGGCACCCAAATATCCTAAAAGAACTTAGGGCCCTAAGTCCTGAGGGGAAAATATTAAGAGACAGATGGATAAAGATAGTGGGAACATAAGGTTAAGAAAATTCTATAAAATGGGCCCACAGTGCTGACTCCCCCCATATGCTTTCTTACCCAAGTAGCAATTTACCTGCAGCCCTGCCTTTCCTAAGTGGACAGAATATGTCACATTCCTTAGCAAACTATCTGCTAATTACAGGAGACTAGATTCTGAAACTCTGGGAGACAAAAATATTTGTAAGGCTGAAGTGGGAGGAAGACCTGTTTTTTTTTTTTTCTCTTGTGTATTATTTGAACTTTTAAAATATAAATGTATTCCTTTAAATATTAAGCTGTTTTATGTTCAAAATATCCAGTTAATATTTTACTCTAAGTGGCAGTGACCCCCAGTATTAAAAGTTCCTTCTCTCAAAAAAAAAAAAAAAAAAAAAAAAGCTGAACTGAGTAACATTAAAAGCCAATTGGATGATCTCATTTGTTCAACAAAAGCTTAAGTTTCATGGCAGGCCACTAGGAAACCGCCTTCTTTAAGAGTAGCTGATCCTTGCCAAACAGGCCCCAGGTGATATATGGGAGGATGAAAGCCAGAAGTATGAGAACTTTGTGCCACCAGTATACCCTGAGGGCTTAGGCTCCAAAGCACTGTAAGATAACACTAAATAGCTAATGTTTTTGCTCTAGGCACAGGAGGTACCTTTCTTGTGTTAAATCTTTTAATCATTTTATTTCTTATTCTTTTTTATTTGTAACTCTTTTAATCTTCTAACTACTGTAGGAGGTAGGTACTGTTATTGTTCCAGTTTTAAGATAATGAGGCTGAGATAAAGAAGATTGGTTTGCCAAGATCCTACATCTATTTCATCCTTAGGCAATCAGTTCCAGAGATCCTTTCTTAACATGTACCAGTATACTGTTCATTCCAAATAGTATAGCAGAAATAACACAGGTATTGGATTTAGAAAGATGGTTTAGAATTTCATTTTCTGGCAGTGTGTTCTTGGGCAAGCTCCTTTGCCTCTCAGGGCCTGTATTTCTTCATCTGTAAAATGGGAAATATTTAAGACCTCCTACCTTATAGGATTCTTGTGGAAATAAAATGAGATCACATATTTGCTTATGAAATGTATCTCCTTATCTTCTTTCCTATTATATCACTGCTTCTGTTCAAATCACCCAGCAGAATACATTCAAGGAACTGTAACAGTGGTCCACTTTATGCTTTATGTGGTAGAATGCTTGCCTAGCATGTGTGAGGTATTGGGTTCAATCCCCAGAATCTCCTAAGCAAACAAAATAAATGTATTTGTGTCCATCTACAACAAAAAACATTTTTAATTAATTAATTAATTAATTAATTAATTTTTTGGTACTGGGGATTGAATTCAGGGGCACTTGACCACTGAGCCACATCCCCAGCCCTGTTTTATATTTTATTTAGAGACAGGGTCTCACTGAGTTCCTTAGCGCCTTACTTTTGCTGAGGCTGGCTTTGAACTTGTGATCCTCCTGTCTCAGCCTCCCGGGCCACTGGGATTACAGGTGTGTGCCACTGCACCCCACTTAAAACATTTTTTAAAAACCCTGCATTCTTGTATGTAGGTAGCAGAAACTATGGTCTATTAATGTATAGCTTAAGATGGGCATTTATACTAACATGAAACTGAATTACAGAAACCTCAGGAGGTCCAATAGCATCAACTGAATGCATCCAACCCTTATGACACCTGTGGTCTGAAACTCAAGGATAACTTCTTGATTTTATTTGAATCTCTTTGTTCCCACTTCCAGTCACTGGCCCAAGGAACAACATGGACTTTGGATGACTGTCCTCCATTTTCTCATTCAACCAGCTTTTCAAATAAAGTTACCTTCTTTTGCCTCAATAACTGGTCTCATCTTAATTGTTCTCTCCTACAGGGAGCAGCCAGACCCATTATTTGGCAACTACACTGTCTTTTGATTAATCACCACTCCTCTCTCAGTCTACAACCTAGTCACTTTTCTGACTCTTCTTTTTTGGAAGTGAGAAGTTTGTCCCTGGTTTCATAACAGGAGGAATGGGATAGAGGATATTGTTTTCTTAGTCAATCAGATGAGAGTCTTCAAATATACATGGCTCTGTGATGTTATTTAAAATACTATAGAACTCTGTTATTACTATACAATTATCATAAATGTTGTATGTATGTGTGCACATTTGTTAAGGGGTTTATAAACCCTCATATGCAGATACACATATACACACCAAATACTGACACCTGTCTAAATTACCAGATACATTGAAAAGTATCTAAGAGTAGAAAATGGGTATTAGAGACCCAGAAAAAAATATTAATATATTATAGAAAAATGTTTCACTAAACTGCAGAGAGAGATAAAGAATTAGGCAGAATCCCATAGTATATCAGTAGTAGAGTTGGAATTTGAATGCATGATTCTATGGACCTTCATGTAGCACAAATGAGTTTGAGAAATGACAGAGAAACACATAATATACAAAGATATGAAAAAATGTGCTTTATGTGTATAATAAGAATTGTAATGCATTCCACTGTTGAGTATTAAAAAAAATAAATTAAAAAAAAGAGAAATGACAGAAAAATGCTTCGTTTCCTTAGAATTTCCAGTGGTGTTTACCCATCCACTGCACGGCCATGAGGTTTTTCCATTCTTTTTTTTTAATATTTATTTATTTTTTGGCGGACACAACATCTTTATATGTGGTGCTGAGGATCGAACCTGGGCCGCATGCATGCCAGGCGAGCGCGCTACCACTTGAGCCATATCCCCAGCCCCAGGTTTTTTTCCATTCTTGCTGCTTGGAAAGGGCTGAAAGGATAATCCTTGGTGGAAGTACAAGATACTTGGGCAGAACATCCAGGACTGTACTACTTCCAAGATCTGGGACAATTAGCATTTCTTCCTGTCAGGGCAAGCCCAACAGGACAGCACAGAACCAAAAGAAGAAGGCCTCAAACCAGAATGATAGGTAAGTGACCTATCAGATCAGTTAATCCTTGAAATGCTAGGCAATTTAATCACAGAAAAATGCTGGTGCTTCTGTTTAGAGTAAGTCATGACTTACTTAAGGAGACTCAGAGTCAGTCCATCACACCCCCAATCCCAGTTCCTTTCTGGCTGCTGCCTGGTAGGATAAAGCTTTCAACAGATACTCATTCTTTAGTCTGCCTGCTGACTACACTTCATAAGGAATTGCAGTACTAGTTGTTTTTCCTGAGTTATCTGTGAAAATACTGTGGTAGTCAGCTTTTCATCACTTTGACACAATACCTGAGAAAAACAACTTGAAAGTGGAAACATTTATTTTGGCCCCCAGTTTCAGAGGTTTCAGTCCATGGTCATTGGCTGCACTGCTTCTGGGCCTGTGTAAGATAGTACATCATGGTGGAAGAGTGTGGAGGAGCAAAGTTGCATACCTCATGGGAGCCAAGAAGTTGGGTGGGGGGTAGGGGTGGGAGAATGAATCCATGGACAAAATATATCTTTCAAAGATATGTTCCCAGTGACCTACATCCTTCAACTAGGCCTCACCTCGTAAAGTTTCCAACACTTCCCAAAGGTGCCAGCAACTGGGGATGAAGCCTTCAACACATGAGACAGACTATGGAGGATATTCCAGATCCAAACCAAAACACACACCCTGTCATCCTTGCTTTTTGTAACCCTCCAAACATTACACACTCAAATGTTAATTTATTTCTAGGACCTTGCCTTGACAACTCTCACTATTGTGTTTTTGGTTCTGATTTTAAAGTCATAATTTTTTGAAACTATCTGATAAGAGCACAAGGATCAGGAACGAATTGAGAATGACAAAAAACTTAAGAAGGAAGAGATGAAGCAAGAGATTACTCTTTTGAAAGAGCAGGTCCAGTTTCTACCTGTATCTGTCATGCCTAACAAAATAGTATGAGAACATGCCTAGTATTACTCATTCTTGAGCCAAGTGTGCCTAATTGAAACTTTTCTTGTCATAGAGGCACATGTTTGGATAAAGATTAAGGGTGAGGGCTGTGGTTGTGGCTCAGTGGTAGAGTGCTTACCTAGCACATGTGAGGCACTGGGTTAAATCCTTAGCACCACATAAAAATAAACAAATCAAATAAAGGTATTGAGTCCATCTACAACTAAAACAAAATATTTAAAAAAAAGAGATTTTTTTCCGTTTCTGAGAAGCGTAAGGAGCAAAGGAAGAGAGAGACAGGGGAAAAAAGGGGGGCTCAGCGCCTCCCCGCCGGGCCAAGAACAGAGGACAGTTTCCGCAGGCGGGGGAGGTCGCTGAGGGCCCGGAGATGTTTTCCCTGACTAGCACGGTGCAGCCCCAGGAACAGCAAGGAGGCCAGTGGAGCTGGAGCAGAAGGAATGAAGCAGGGAGCATCAGGGGAGGAGGTTACAGTTCCTCTCAGTCATCTCATCAGTGCCTTCCATTCACCAAAAACCATATTTGTTGCTGTCAGTACATCAGTTTCTCAAAACCAGCATAGAGATGTAGTTCCTGAGCATGAGGCTCTCAGCAATGAGCCTTCACTTAATTTAAGGGACCTTGGATTATCTGAATTGAAAATTGGACAGATTGATTAACTGGTAGAAAATCTACTTCCTGGATTTTACAAAGGCAAAAACATTTCTTCCCACTGGCATACATCTCATGTCTCTGCACATTCTTTCTTTGAAAATAAATATGGTTACTTAGATATGTTCAGTACTTTGCGTTCCTCTTGCTTATACAGACAACATCCAAGAACTCTCCAAAGCATTTGTTCAGATCTTCATTACTGGCCAGTTTTCATACAGTCTCGGGGTTTTAAAACTTTAAAATCAAGGACCAGACGTCTACAGTCCACCTCTGAAAGATTAGCAGAGACACAGAATATAGCACCATCATTCGTGAAGGGGTTTCTTTTGAGGGACAGAGGATCAGATGTTAAGAGTTTGGACAAACTCATGAAAACTAAAAACATACCTGAAGCTCATCAAGATGCATTTAAAACTGGTTTTGCGGAGGGTTTTCTGAAAGCGCAAGCATTAACACAAAAAACAAATGATTCTCTAAGGCGAACTCGTCTGATTCTCTTTGTTCTGTTACTGTTTGGCATTTATGGACTTTTAAAGAACCCATTTTTATCTGTCCGCTTCCGAACAACCACAGGGCTTGATTCTGCAGTAGATCCTGTCCAGATGAAAAATGTCACCTTTGAACATGTTAAAGGAGTGGAGGAAGCTAAACAAGAATTACAAGAAGTTGTTGAATTCTTGAAAAATCCACAAAAATTTACCGTGCTTGGAGGTAAACTTCCAAAAGGTATACTTTTAGTTGGACCCCCAGGCACTGGAAAGACACTTCTTGCCCGTGCTGTGGCAGGAGAAGCTGATGTTCCTTTTTATTATGCTTCTGGATCAGAATTTGATGAGATGTTTGTCGGTGTGGGAGCCAGCCGTATCAGAAATCTTTTTAGGGAAGCGAAAGCAAATGCTCCTTGTGTTATATTTATTGATGAATTAGATTCTGTTGGTGGAAAGAGAATTGAATCTCCCATGCATCCATATTCAAGGCAGACTATAAATCAACTGCTTGCTGAAATGGATGGTTTTAAACCCACTGAAGGAGTAATCATTATAGGAGCCACAAACTTTCCAGAGGCATTAGATAATGCCTTAATACATCCTGGTCGCTTTGACATGCAAGTTACAGTTCCAAGGCCAGATGTAAAAGGTCCAACAGAAATTTTGAAATGGTATCTCAATAAAATAAAGTTTGATAAATCTGTTGATCCAGAAATCATAGCTCGAGGTACTGTTGGGTTTTCTGGAGCAGAGTAAGAGAATCTTGTAAACCAAGCTGCATTAAAGGCAGCTGTTGATGGAAAAGATATGGTTACCATGAAGGAACTAGAGTTTTTCAAAGATAAAATTCTAATGGGGCCTGAACGAAGAAGTGTGGAAATTGATAACAAAAATAAAACCATCACAGCCTATCATGAATCTGGTCATGCTATTATTGCATATTACACAAAAGATGCAATGCCTATTAATAAAGCTACAATCATGCCACGAGGGCCAATACTTGGACATGTGTCCCTGTTGCCTGAGAATGACAGATGGAATGAAACTAGAGCCCAGTTGCTTGCACAGATGGATGTTAGTATGGGAGGAAGAGTGGCAGAAAAAGAAGAGCAAAACAACAGCAAAAGAAGTAGAAGGCAAGAAATAATGAAAATCAGAGCTGAAATTAATGAAATCGAAACAAAAGAAACAATTGAAAAAATTGACAAAACTAAAAGTTGGTTCTCTGAAAAAATAAACAAAATCGACAGACCCTTAGCCATGCTAGCAAAGAGAAGAAGAGAGAGAACTCAAATTACTAGCATACGGGATGAAAAAGGCAATATCACAACAGACACTTCAGAAATACAGAAGATAATCAAAAATTATTTTGAATCCTTATACTCCAATAAATTAGAAGATAGTGAAGGCATAGATAAATTTCTTAAGTCATATGATCTGCCCAGATTGAGTCAGGAAGATACAGACAACCTAAACAGACCAATATCAATTGAGGAAATAGAAAAAACCATCAAAAGACTACCAACTAAGAAAAGCCCAGGACCGGATGGGTATACAGCAGAGTTTTACAAAACCTTTAAAGAGGAACTAATACCAATACTTTTCAAGCTACTTCAGGAAATAGAAAAAGAGGGAGAACTTCCAAATTCATTCTACGAGGCCAACATCACCCTGATACCTAAACCAGACAAAGACACTTCAAAGAAAGAAAACTATAGACCAATATCTCTAATGAACCTAGATGCAAAAATCCTCAATAAAATTCTGGCGAATCAGATACAAAAACATATCAAAAAAATTGTGCACCATGATCAAGTAGGATTCATCCCTGGGATGCAAGGCTGGTTCAATATACGGAAATCAATAAATGTTATTCACCACATCAATAGACTTAAAAATAAGAACCATATGATCATCTCAATAGATGCGGAAAAAGCATTCGACAAAGTACAGCATCCCTTTATGTTCAAAACTCTAGAAAAACTAGGGATAACAGGAACATACCTCAATATTGTAAAAGCAATCTATGCTAAGCCTCAGGCTAGCATCATTCTGAATGGAGAAAAATTGAAGGCATTCCCTCTAAAATCTGGAACAAGACAGGGATGCCCTCTCTCACCACTTCTGTTCAACATAGTTCTCGAAACACTGGCCAGAGCAATTAGACAGACGAAAGAAATTAAAGGCATCAAAATAGGAAAAGAAGAACTTAAATTATCACTATTTGCAGGTGACATGATTCTATACCTAGCAGACCCAAAAGGGTCTACAAAGAAACTATTAGAGCTAATAAATGAATTCAGCAAAGTGGCAGGATATAAAATCAACACGCATAAATCAAAGGCATTCCTGTATATCAGCGACAAATCCTCTGAAATGGAAATGATGACAACCACTCCATTCACAATATCTTCAAAAAAAATAAAATACTTGGGAATCAACCTAACAAAAGAGGTGAAAGACTTATACAATGAAAACTACAGAACCCTAAAGAGAGAAAGAGAAGAAGATCTTAGAAGATGGAAAAATATACCCTGTTCATGGACAGGCAGAACTAACATCATCAAAATGGCGATATTACCAAAAGTTCTCTATAGGTTTAATGTAATGCCAATCAAAATCCCAACGGCATTTCTTGTAGAAATAGAGAAAGCAATCATGAAATTCATATGGGAAAATAAAAGACCCAGAATAGCAAAAACAATGCTAAGCAGGAAGTGTGAATCAGGTGGTATAGCGATACCAGACTTCAAACTATACTACAGAGCAATAGTAACAAAAACAGCATGGTACTGGTACCAAAACAGGCGGGTGGACCAATGGTACAGAATAGAGGACACAGAAACCAATCCACAAAACTACAACTATCTTATATTTGATAAAGGGGCTAAAAGCATGCAATGGAGGAAGGATAGCATCTTCAACAAATGGTGCTGGGAAAACTGGAAATCCATATGCAACAAAATGAAACTGAATCCCTTTCTCTCGCCATGCACAAAAGTTAATTCAAAATGGATCAAGGAGGTTGATATCAAATCAGAGACACGGCGTCTGATAGAAGAAAAAGTTGGCTACGATCTACATACTGTGGGGTCGGGCTCCAAATTCCTCAATAGGACACCCATAGCACAAGAGTTAATAACTAGAATCAACAAATGGGACTTACTCAAACTAAAAAGTTTTTCCTCAGCAAAAGAAACAATAAGAGAGGTAAATAGGGAGCCTACATCCTGGGAACAAATCTTTACTCCTCACACTTCAGATAGAGCCCTAATATCCAGAGTATACAAAGAACTCAAAAAATTAGACAATAAGAGAACAAACAACCCAATCAACAAATGGGCCAAGGACCTGAACAGACACTTCTCAGAGGAGGACATACAATCAATCAACAAGTACATGAAAAAATGCTCACCATCTCTAGCAGTCAGAGAAATGCAAATCAAAACCACCCTAAGATACCATCTCACTCCAGTAAGATTGGCAGCCATTATGAAGTCAAACAACAACAAGTGCTGGCGAGGATGTGGGGAAAAGGGTACACTTGTACATTGCTGGTGGGACTGCAAATTGGTGCAGCCAATTTGGAAAGCAGTATGGAGATTCCTGGGAAAGCTGGGAATGGAGCCACCATTTGACCCAGCTATTCCCCTTCTCGGTCTATTCCCTGAAGACCTAAAAAGAGCATGCTACAGGGACACTGCTACATCAATGTTCATAGCAGCACAATTCACAATAGCAAGACTGTGGAACCAACCTAGATGCCCTTCAATAGACGAATGGATAAAAAAAATGTGGCATTTATACACAATGGAGTATTACTCTGCATTAAAAAATGACAAAATCATAGAATTTGCAGGAAAATGGATGGCATTAGAGCAGATTATGCTAAGTGAAGCTAGCCAATCCCTAAAAAACAAATGCCAAATGTCTCCTTTGATATAAGGAGAGTAACTAAGAACAGAGTAGGGTCGAAGAGCATGAGAAGAAGATTAACATTAAACAGGGATGAGAGGTGGGAGGGGAAGGGACAGAGAAGGGAAATTGCATGGAAATGGAAGGAGACCCTCAGTCTCCTTCCATTGCATGGAAATGGAAGGAGACAAAAGTACATACAAGAGGAAGTGAGGGGAAAGGGAAAAATAATACAAGGGGGACAAATGAATGACAGTTGAGGTGGCAGAGAGAGAAGAGGGGAGGGGAGGGGAGGGGAGGGGGATAGTAGAGGATAGGAAAGGTAGCAGAATACAACAGTTACTAGTATGGCATTATGTAAAAATGTGGATGTGTAACCGATGTGATTCTGCAATCTGTATATTGGGTAAAAATGGGAGCTCATAACCCACTTGAATCAAAGTGTGAAATATGATATATCAAGAACTATGTAATATTTTGAACAACCAACAATAAAAAATAAAAAAAATAAAGTTAAAGAAACCAAGAAACTAAAAAAAAAAAAAAAAGAATAAGGGTGTTACAGACTAGTTTTTAGTGCATACTATTACATACAATAGGAGGTTCAGAACACTCATCCATTCATGAAACAAATATGAATTAAGAACCTACTACTTGCCAGGCACTACAATAGCCTGAAGATACAATAACAAGCAAACAGGCATAATTTCTGCACTCATGAAGCATACAGATAAGTGCAAGAAATCCATTTTAATCAAATAATCATACTAATGAATATGTAATTATATGGCAAGCATGAATCCCATTTTACAAACCCTATTCTACAAAATCATATTAGATATGTAAGAAATTTCATGTTTCTTGATTTTCCTTAAATTAAAAATAAACCACATATTTTGTGTCAGAAATGTTAGGGGTAAAAACAATAGAAATAGGGGGATCTATAAAGTGATTAAGTTTCTCCATTCAACTTAAAGTGGTAAAATATGAGTCTAAGTAGACTATGAAAAGTTTATAATGTATAGTGTGATTCTAAGCACTCCCACCCATGCCCCATCCTGTCCGACTACAGGAAAATCAATAGAACACATTAGTGATTTTTTTGTGCGTGTGGTGCTGGGGATTGAACTCAGGGCCTTGTGTATGCAAGGCAAGCACTCTACCAACTAAGCTATATCCCCAGCCCAATATAACACATTAGTAAGGCACCTCAACCACATTTCACCTCTGACTTGCTAACCCAACACTTCACAGAATTGTAAAACATTTATTAAGCATTCCCATCCCCCACCCCAAACTCTGGTTTATAATGGTAAACCTGTATGATCAAGTGTGCAAACTGGTGTGATTCTCTGATATCAAGAATTAGGGATATGATTGTTTTTTTTTTAGACTTGGTAAATATAAAATGCCTTGAAAATGATCCTAATAGAGACGTGATATGAGCATTTGAATCCATTACATAGGCAGTTGGAAGGCTTGGCATATGATGGAATTTAAAGCCTTTAAATTTGTCTAGATATTATAGAATGAAAAGAAAATAAGCCTCTTCTTTTTTGAAAAGGATATTGAGAAGAGCAGCCAAAGAGTTGGGGACATTTGTGCTATCAGGAAAGATAAGGGAGAAAAGAAAGTGTTCCAAATAAAAGTGAGTTATTAATGGTGCTGGATATTGTTTTAATAGTCAAGTAAGATGAACACTGAAATGTGTGTATTGGATTTCATAACATGGATGTCTGAGTGGCACTGATGATCTTAACAAGAGCTGTTTTGTTGTTACAGAGAAGACAGAAACAGATTGGAGTGTGTTGAGAAGTAAATGGGGGTGGAGAAAACAGAATAAAAAAATTGGCTATTCAAAGAAGATAGATAGGATGTTACTTGAGGGAGTATGTGTAATCTAGAAGAGGAGGTTTTCTCTTTTTTTCCCAAATAGGAAAGAGTTAGGTAGGCATTCCAGGGATGAAAAGAGCTTGTTTTACACCAAGGATTAAGCCTCTTTCTGTCTAGGCCCACAACGTAGAAACTTTATTCTACCATATGATCCCAACTATATAGCACTCTATAAAAGGCAAAACTATGAAGACAGTAAAAAGAACAGTGACTGTCTGGGAATTGGATTGGAGGGAGAGAAGGAGGGATAAATAGATGGAACATGGGTGATTTTTAGAGCAGTCAAACTATTCTGTATGATGCTAGTAGGAACATATCATTATTTGTCAAAGCTTATAGAATGTACAACATAGAGTAAATCCTAATGTAAACTATGAACTTCAGCTAATAATAATGTATCAATATTGGCTCATTAATTATAACAAATGTATCATACTAATTCAAGATGTTATAATAGGGGAGAAGGGGTACAGGAATATATAGGCATACTGTACCTTCTGCTCATTTTTCTATAAACCCAAAACTGCTGAAAATAAAAAAAAGTTTTTAAAAGTTTAAAATATCAGGTACACTGGCAGACACCTGTAATCCCAGATACTTAGGAGGCTGAGGCATAAGGATCACAAGTTCAAAGCCAGCCTAAGCAACTTAGCAAGGCCTTGAGAAACTTAGTGAGATCCTGTCTCAAAAATAAAAATTATATGATGGCTCAGTGATTAAGCACCCCTGGGTTCAATACCAGTTACCAAAAAAAATTGGTAAAAAATTTTTATCAAAGGCCTTATGTATGGGTAGTCTCCTTCCTAAAATGTTTCTTTTTATTTGATTTATTCTGTCTCATCTATAGCTCAAAATATTTGAAGATGATTTTCAGAAAAGAGATCCATTAAAATTAACATTTTTATTTTTATAGATTTAAGAAATTTATAATCTCTGAAGATATCCCACTCATAAATTCTAGCATCAACTATGCCTCTCTCCATTTATCAACTCAGTACATAGACTTAATAAGTATGAGCTTGTGACAAAATCTATGAATTTCCTACTCTAACATCCATTCTTCCTGTGCTCCTTAATGACAAAATATTATTTTATTTCGGGAAGCCATGTACCTAAATAAAAGTTGACATTTTTCAACATCCCCTAGCCACATGACCAGATTCTAACCAGTGAGATATGAATGGGAGTGTCATACATGAATTTCTGGAAGTCTTCTAAAACATGCTGGTTGAACTATAAATGTAATGGCTACAGGTTAAATAGTTATCTTGGACCATGAGATGACATTTTTAGGATAACAAAACTGCTAAGAGCCAAGTATATGATGCATGGCATTTTTGGTTGAAAGGTGACACCAGCTAGCCATTGAGATGATATGATTATGTTAAGATTTGCATTCATATGGATATTGGACTCCTGCTGTTCACCTAGGCCTGCTACGGGACTCCTGGAGAGTTCCCATTGGTTGGGGAAGTACAGTAGGAGGGAGTTCCGGGGGAGGAGCGCTCTCTGCCGTTCCGGGAGGAGGCCGCGTGGGTGGATCGAAAAATCTTCCCGGGCGCGTACTGGACATTGGTGGCAGTTTCAAAAAATAAAGTTTGTTCCTGCTTGAGTGGCTCGTGATTTTGTGCCCAGCCAGACTGCGGCACAAACAAGATAGGTGACTGAGTCTCTGGCTACTATGGAAAAAAAAAGTCATATTTAAGTTATTCTCTTTTTGTGTTTTTCTGTTATCTGTAGTCAAACCTAATCCTAGTCAATATGATATTGTACTGTTATCACATTAGGTTGCAGCATCAGATGAACATCGTTAATCAACTGTTAAGTATTTGAAATGTTCCCATTGTTTAGTATTATTTGTTGTGCAGCATTAGTCATTGAAAAAATCATCCCTCCACCTATAAACATGACTTGGGTATCATAAAGGATATTTTCCCCCCAAAAGTAATTATCATCATATTGAAGGGTTGGAAAAATGGTGTAAAGAACAAATTTGGGGCTTTCATTAATATGTATGTATACAACAACTTTGTCATTTTTTCTTTGAATTTCAAAAGGTGCATAATGACACGTGGAATGCTTTTTTTTTTTTTTTCCCGGGCTAAGGATTGAACCCAGAGGTGCTCTACCAATGGGCTATATCTTCAACCCCTTTCTATTTTATTTTAAGAGAGGGTCTCACTAAGTTGCCCAGACTACCCTGGAACATGTGATCCTCTTGCCTCAGCCTCCCAAATTGCTGGGATTACAGGTATGCTCCACTGCACCTGGCTTTAAATTTTTGATGGTTAGATATGCAGTACATTTTTTTTCTGCAAAATAATCTACTTTGTATATTGCCTCATGAATTATCTCCCAGTAGAAAAGAAGCTCCCTAATGGTGCAGAGCTAAACCTAATACACCTTTGATTTCCTCAGTATATTCATTATTTATGGAAATAGAAGAAGCCATCAAAAGACTACCAACCAAGAAAATCCCAGGACCAGAAGGATATACAGCCAAGTTTTACAAGACTTTTAAAGAAGAACTAATATCAATACTCTTCAATTTATTTTAGGAAATAGAAAAAGAGGGAGTACTTCCAAACTCATTCTATGAGGCCAATATCACCCTGATTCCAAAATCAGAAAGACACTTCAAAGAAAGAAAACTTCAGACAAATATCTCTAATGAACATAGATGCAAAAATCCTCAATAAAATTCTGGCAAATCAAATATAAAAACATATCCAAAAAATTGTGCACCATCATCAAGTGGGATTCATCCCAGGGATGAAAGGTTGGTTCAACATATGGAAATCAATAAATATAATTCATCACATCAATAGACTTAAAGATAAGAATCATATGATCATCAATAGACGCAGAAAAAGCATTTGTCAAAATACAGCACCCATTCATGTTCAGAACACTAGAAAAACTAGGGACAACAGGAACATATTTCAACATCATAAAGGCTATCTATGCTAAGTCCCAGGCCAACATCATTCTAAATGGAGAAAAATTGAAGGCATTCCCTCTAAAATCTGGAACAAGAGAGGAATGCCCTATCTCACCACTCAAAAAACTCCACCAGAAAACTTCTAGAACTAGTAAGTGAATTCAGCAAAGAGGCATGATATAAAATCAACACCCATAAATCAAAGGCATTTCTGTATATCAGTGACAAATCCTCTGAAAGGGAAATGAGGAAATGTACCCCATTTACAATATCCTCAAAAAAAAGATACTTGGGAATCAACTTAACAAAAGAGGTGAAGGATCTATACAATGAAAACTACAGAATCCTAAAGAGAGAAATCAAAGAAGACCTTAGAAGATGTAAAGATCTACCTTGCTCTTGGATAGGCAGAATTAATATTATCAAAATGACCATATTACCAAAAGGACTATTCAGATTTAATGCAATTCTGATCAAAATTCCAATGGCATTCCTCATAGAAATAGAGAAAGCAATCATGAAATTCATGTGGAAAAATAAGAGACCCAGAATAGCTAAAGCAATTCTAAGCAGGAAGAGTAAAACAGGTGGTATCACTATACCAGACCTTAAACTAAACTAAAGAGCAATAGTAACAAAAATAGCATGGTATTGGCACCAAAACAGACTGGTAGACCAATGGTACGGAATAGAGGACACAGAGACCAACCCACAAAACTACAATTATCTTATATTAGACAAAGGTGCCAAAAACATGCATTAGAGAAAAGATAGCCTCTTCAACAAATGGTGCTGGGAAAACTGGAAATCCATATGCAACAAAATGAAATTGAACCCCTATCTCTCACCATGTACAAAAGTTAACTCAAAATGGATCAAGGAACTAGGAATTAAACCAGAGACCCTGCGTCTAATAGAAGAAAAAGTAGGCCCTAATCTTCATCATGTGGGATTAGGCCCCCAACTTCCTTAATAAGACTCCTATAGCACAAGAATTAAAAGCAAGAATCAACAAATGGGATGGATTCAAACTAAAAAATTTTTTCTCAGCAAATGCAATAATCTGTGAGGTGAACAGGGAGCCTACATCCTGGGAGCAAATTTTTACCCCTTACATATCAGATATAGCACTAATCTCTAGGATATATATAAAGAACTCAACAAGCTAAGCACCAAAAAAAAAAAAACCCAAATAATCCAATCAATAAATGGGCCAAGGACCTGAATAAACACTTCTCATAAAAGGATATATAATCAATCAACAAATATATGAAAAAATGCTCATCATCTCTAGCAATCAGAGAAATGCAAATCGAAACTATTCTAAGATATCATCTCACTTCAGTCAGAATGGCAGCTATTATGAAGACAAGCAACAACAAGTGTTGGCGAGGATGTGGGGGAAAAGGTACACTCATACATTGCTGGTGGGACTGCAAATTGGTGCAGCCAATTTGGAAAGTAGTATGGAGGTTCCTTTGAAAGCTGGGAATGGAACCACCATTTGATCCAGCTATTCCTCTTCTTGGACTATACGCAAAGGACTTAGAAACAGCATACTACAGGGACACAGCCACATCAATGTATGTTATAGCAGCACAATTCACAATAGCTAAACTGTGGAGTCAACCTAGATGTCCTTCAATGGATGAATGGATAAAAAAAATGTGGCATTTATACACATTGGAATATTACTCAGCACTAAAAAAGAACAAAATCATGGCATTTGCAGGTATATGGATGGCATTGGAGAAGATAATGCTAAGTGAAGTTAGCCAATCCCAAATAAACAAATGCTGAATGTTTTCTCTGATATAAGGGGGTGACTCATAGTGGAGTAGGGAGGGAGAGCATGGGAGGATTAGATTAATTCTAGATAGGGAAGAGGAGTGGGAGGGAAAGGGAGGGAGAAGGGGATTAGCATGGATGGTGGAATGTGATAGTCATCATTATACAAAATACATGTTCAAATATTTGAATTTGGGGCCAATATACCTTATATACAAACAGAGATATGAAAAATTGTGGCATATATGTGTATTAAAATTGTAATGCAAAAAAGAGAACACATATAATGGCATAAGTTGGCATGAACATATTTTATATACAGAGATATGAAAAATTGTGGTCTATGTGTGTAATAAGGATTGTAATGCATTCCACTGTTGTCGTGTATTTAAAAAATAAATAAATAAATAAATATTCATTATTTATTGCTGAATAAAAGTTACACTAAAACTTAAGGGCTTAAAACAATAAGTATTTATTATCTCACAGTTTCTGTAGGTAAAGAAACTAATTATGGCTTAGCTGAATGTCTCTGCCTTTAGGTATCTTATAAGCTGGAAATCATGATGTTGGCTGGGGCTGTAGTTTCATTTGAAAGCTATGCTAAGAAAGGATCTGCTTCCAAGCTCACTCATGTGGTTGTTGGAAGGACTTGACAACTTTGTGAGGTCTCAGGTTCTTCCTAGCTGTTGACCAGAAGTCACCCTCAGTTCTTCAGTATAAACATGTGAGAAAGAGAACAAGGCAGAAGTTAGTTTTTGTATCTTAATCTCAGAAGTAACATCCTGTAATTTTTGCCAAATTGTATTTGTTAAAAGAAAGTTGCTAGAACCATTCTAAACTTGAGGGGAGGAGGCCATGCAAATGCTTAATAGGGCTAGAGTAAACATTGGTGGTTTATATAAATTCTGTGTATATCATATATTGTACTTTTAGTTTTAAATTTTTTTTCTATATACCAAAGATTATTTTGTGTATTCAAATAACCATTCTGTTGTAATAATTTCAAGCTGATAATTTTATTTGATGATTGTGTTGAATCCTTTCAATATGTGGTTTGCCAAGAATGGCTAATATTCATAAATTATGATCAGCCTGAAATTTTAATTTGTTATGAAGTTATTTTGGGGTTTCAGGATAAAGACTTTATTTTATCTCATCAAACTGGAGAGTATACCATCTTTTTCTATATTTTGAAATAGTACAATATAAGATTAACCATTTTTGATACAGATGGAAAAAGTCATCAGGGTCCATCTTTGATGTAGTGATAAAGGGATACCCTAGTAATATTTCCTATAATCTTACTTTGTTAATGATTTATAAATATTTTTAAGCTGTATGGTCCAATATATTATTTACTTGTCACAATGGCTATATATACATTCAAATTTAATGACAAACAAGCAGTTGCTTAGTTTCACTAGCCACATTTCAAGTATTCCATAGCCACGTGTTGAGTGACTACCATATTGAAGAGAACAGATATAGAACATTTCTATCATCACAGGAAATTCTATTGGACAGTGCAAATTAAACAGAGTTGGCTTGAAATAAGTAGAATTGGGTGTGAGTTCCAGCTACACTCTTCACTAGCTTTGTGACTTTGGATATAACACAACCTCATTGTCACTCATTGATCTTATCTATAAAATTGTACTACTACCTTCCCTATCCATCTCACAAGACTGTTGAGAATAAAAAATATATATTTGAAAATTATAAAATACATTTATAATGTTTGATTATTGTGCAAATTATTCCATTTTTCATGCAAAATGGTGATAACATTACCTACTTCATAGGGCTGCTATGACATTTAAGTAAATTAGTATATGTAAGTAATATTTAGGTCCTGTGCCTGATACATATTAACAGATCTGTAAATATTAGCTGTGATTATTGTTGTAGGCATTCAGCATTACAGACATACATGGGGCTGAAAGTAGACTTAAGGAAACTCTGCCCTTCACACTTTTACAGAAATGAGAATACATTTTTCCTTACAGGGGTCTAAAATTCCACAACTACAGCTATTTATTATAATACTTTGGCAAATCATTTCCTCCCTGCAATAGCTGGCTTTCAAATACTTTTTAAAATAACAGCCTAATTATTTTGTCTACCTGTACTCTTAAATTGTTCTCATCCAATGTTAAGACTAAACTTGAATATCTAGGCTCGATCAATCCTTCCTGAATTCAAGATTAATACTGAGTATGCAGACACAATTGTATTCATAGGCATCTCAAGCTTGCTGCGAGATACCAAAATTCCCAACTCTTTCTCAAGCTACGTTCTCCCTCAGCATTCTCAACTCTCTGGCACCTCTATTAACCCAGTTGCTTAAGCCCAAAACCTTGGTGTTATCTGATTCCTTATACTCTTCAAAAAGAAAATATGATGGCTCTTAGAAACTTAGCCAGAAACCTACCACTTCTCATAATCTCCACTGCTTCCAAGCCACCATCATTTCTCACTTATTACCATAATAACCTCCTCACTGGTCACCCAACATTTACTCTTATCTACAAATACTCTATTCTTTGGCTTTGATCTTTTTCAAAAAGTAAGTCTGATCACATCATTCCACTGCTTCAAACTCTGCTTTCCCATCTTACTGGAAACTACATCAACATCTTTACAATTGGCTAAAGGGCCCCAGTCTTTCCCTTCCACTACTTCTTTACCTCATCACTCCACCTTACCTCTTATTTCTCTCACTACTTTTGGTTACAGTCTAGTTATGCTAACTTTGCTGTTGCTCCTCCTCTAATACTTCAAAACTCTCCCAACTTAGAGCCTTGTAGTTGCTCTCTCTTCTACCTAGAAAATTTTCCCTGGATATATACATGGCTCCTTCTCTCATTTATTCCAGTATTTGTTCAAATTTGATCCTATCATGGAAGGTACCTCTGATCTCCTTAATAAAAGTTTCTGTGATGATTAATTTTATGTTTCAATGTGGTTGGGTCACAAGGTGCTCAAATATTTGTTCAAACATCATTTTAGGTGTGTCTGTGAGGATGTTTGTGGATGAGAATAATGTTTTAATTGGTAGACTGAGAAAAGCAGATTGTTTTCCCTAATGTGGGTGGGCCTCATCCAAACAGCTGAAGACACGCAGAACAGAAAGGGTGACCTTGTTCATAAGAGGGAACTCCTCCTGCTTGACTGCTGTAAGCTGAAATGCCAGCATTTCCCTGCCTTCGGATGTGAAAAAAAAAAAAAATACTGGCTCTTCTTGGGTCTTGAAGCTACCAATGTTTGGACTGGATGTTATACCATCAGTTTTCCTGCTTCTCTGGTCTTTAGACTCATATTGGAACACTACTAGCTCCTGTGGGTTCCCCAGCTTCTCAACTGCAGACCTTGGGAATTCTTAGCCTCCAATCATGTGAGCCAAGTCCTTATAATAAATCTTTACACATTCATATCCTATTGACTTTCTTTCTCTGCAGAATCCTAGTACAGTTTCCTATTGATGCTCTAATAAATTACCAGAAATTTAGTGGTTTAAAACAATCTTAATTTATTATCTTATAGTTCTGGAGGTTAAAGTCTGATGTGGATTTCACTAGATTAAAATGCAGGTGTCAGCAGGCCTGTTTCCTTTCTGAGGCTGGAGAAGAGAATGGATATTTCCTTGCCTTTTCCACTTTCTAGTGACTGTTCAAATTTCTTGGTTTATGGCTCTCTGCCTCTATCTTCAAAGTCATGAACAAGGAGTTGAACCTTTCTCACAGAGTTACTTTGACATTGACTCTCCAGCTCCCTGTCTATATTTAAAGGCCCTTGTTTTATGTTGGGCTACTTGGATAATCCAGGATTATTTTCTTACTTTAGGAACAGCTTATTAGTAGCCTTAATTCCATTTGCAACCATAATTTCTCCTTGCTTCACAACATAACATCTTCACAGGTTCCAGGGATCAGAATTTGGATATATATGGGTGGCTAGCCTACCCCAACACCTTCTTCTATTGCTGTTTTAATTTTCTTTATATTACTTACCTCTTCTAATGTATAGTATGTTTACTTACTTGGCTTTTGCCTGTCTCCTCTTACTAGAATACAGGCTCCATGGGCTGTTTCATTCATTCCTATATCCTGGACTCTGAAAATAGTATCAGAAACACAACAGGAGTGGACAAAATATTTTTTTACTACATTAATGAGGCAAACAATTTCATTAGTGAGGCCTAAAGACTGGGAGGTCCTGATGACCTTCCCGCTTTTTAAGGAAGGTTAGGAATCTAAGTGGAAAATCATAAACTTGACTTTGTAATGCACTCTAATAGGATACCTGAAAAAGTAACACTTTCTCCCTGCTCTTTTTAAAGGGCTCTAGAGAAATAGCATCTATAATTCCTCACAGTAGCCCAATTCAGGTGGAAAATCTGTGAATACTGAAAAACTGATTAAATTTGACCTAAATTCTTCAAGCTAGGTTTTTTGTTTGTTTTATTTTGTTTTTCCTGATGACTTTGCTTTGCAATGCCTATTGTAGCAAAGTTCCTAATGCATGTGGCAGACCCCCAGTGAAAACAGGAGTTAAAATTTATTTGCAAGTTTGTTTCACTATTCATATAGTAGCTAACACTGAGATAGTCTCACAGTCAACTACCACACCTGAGTGCACCTCATATTCTCCACTGCATCCTAAGTAGGCTATGAAGTTCAGGAAGACCATATAACTTCAGGTTAAGTGCACAAGCTCTAGAGTTAGTTTACCTGAGTTCAAATCCCAGCTTCACCAGTATTGCATAACTATAGGGAAATTTCTTATCCTTTCTGGAACCCAGTCTGCTCATTTGCAAAATGGGGTTCTTGTGTTGATTAAATGATATAATCCTCATAATGTACTTATAACCTGAGACTGAGTAAGAACTCTACTAAAGGAAACACTATTTTTATTTGGCAACCTGCCCAACTTTCTTTTTTTTTTTAAAGAGAGAGTGAGAGAGAGAGAGAGAGAATTTTAATATTTATTTTTTAGTTTTCGGCGGACACAACATCTTTGTTGTATGTGGTGCTGAGGATCGAACCCGGGCCGCACGCATGCCAGGCAAGTGCGCTACTGCTTGAGCCACATCCCCAGCCCTGCCCAACTTTCTTGTTACCGTACTGAGTCATCAGATAAAGCTGGGTGACATTGGAAAAAGCTAAGTCGCTATACAAATCAGTATCCATACCTTCCTTTAACTAGCAACAATTTTCATTTGCAACATATTACTTGTGAAACCAAACTTTCAAGTTATTGCTTTTGTTTAAAACAATGTTCCTCAATCTCAAATTTTTAGATCATTTTGAGAACCAATAATATAAAACAAAATTTTCTTGATATAATTATATACGTTCAACTTATCTGGTGAACATGTTTTCTCACACCTGCTCCCACATCTACATTTTCTTCTTTTCCCCTTAAAACAGTGACTTCCGAAGTATAATCTTTGGACCAGTAAGATCAGCATCAGCATCACTTAGGAACCTGACCTAATAGAAATGCCTGCCTCAGAACTACTAAGATCTAAGCCTCTTAGGGTAAGGGTATGGCACCTGTTTAAATAAAGCCTTCTCCAAGTGATTCTGATTAGTTTTGAGAACCACTGCCCTGTACTACTCACATGGCTAACAGGGTCTATTAAAAAGAATCACTTCGTTGTGTCACTAATCATAATTTTGGTTTCTTGGCTCCATGTTTCTGTGCACATGCCTTTACTACCTACCTACATTTGCTTCAGTCTCTATGTGGCGTTGAACAACTTTATATCTTGAAATGTTTTGTCTTCAATGACAAAGAAAGTCAGCTGGCAATCGCAAAAATAAGTATTAAGTCAAACCATGAACTTATTTTCTAGCCTTTCATCCTAGCAATACATCTGCCAGTCGAAGTTATACGTAGAATCTGAGCAAGGAGTGGTAAATACAGAAATGATATGTTTATGACTTTTCTACTCATCTAACTTTAAAAAAAAAAAAAAAGACGTAAGTGGCTCCTTCTAAATCTCACCCTGGATACTAAAGATAATATGAACATGCCAAATCATGAATCATATTAGTCACAGAACAGAGCACTATTCATTTGCTGTTTTCATATTCCTTAATGCTAAGAGGTTAAAGAATCTAGAAAATCTACTTAAAACTCTCCTGCAGAATTTTATGAACATAGCTATTGATAAAATTAGTCCCATGAGTTCTTTTAAGACTTGAGATTCTTAGACTATATAATGTAGGCTACCTGAAAAACATGTTCCTTGCTGCTCATGTAGGCTACCTGAAAAACATGTTCCTTGCTGCTCAGTGAAAACTCTAATTATCCTTCTATTGGAAATAATAAACTAAGACAGGGAAAGGTGAGAGATTGGTAGTCATGAAGAAGTTTTCTTATGACCTAACAGGAGAAATGAGTTTACTGTGCTATAGATTCCGTGTGTGTGTGTGTGTGTGTGTGTGTGTGTGTGTGTGAGAGAGAGAGAGAGAGAGAGAGAGAGAGAGAGAGAGAGAGAGTTTTGTTATCTCATTAATGGAAACTGAATTGGTTAGGGCTTTAAGTAAATGTAGTCAGTGTTCTCACACTCCATTTCTTGCAGTCCACAGTGCTTCATTTTTTCTTTAGGGGACTAAAGTTAAATGAAACTCTGTATTAGCTTTTCACTATTGTAACTAAAAGATCCAATCAGCAAAATTATGAGGAGGAAAAGTTTATTTGGGCGGGGCTCACAGTTTCAGAGGTCTCAGGCCATAGACAGCAGGCTCTATTCCTCAGCGCTCAAGGTGAGGCAGGACATCATGGTGGAAGACTGTGGCAGAAGGAAGCAGCTCACATGATTATCAGAAAGCAGAGACTCCACTCACCAGATACAAATATATACCCCAGAGCCACGCCCCTAATACCCCACCTCCTCCAGCCATACCCTAGCTTCCAATTCCCACTCAATTAATACCATCAGGTGATCGATTCACTGATTGGATTAAGTCTTTTGTGGCCCTGTCATTTATTCTCTGAATAGTCTTGCAAGGTCTCACATATAAGCTTTTGGGTGATACCTCACATCCAAATTCATTCTATCTCTGGCCCCCAAAAGTTCACACTTACCTGATAATGTAAAATATATTTAATCCATTCCCAAGAGCCCCATAGTCAACAGTTCCGAGATTGCTCAAAGTTCAAGTTCAAAGTCTTCTCTGAGGCTCAAGGCAATCTCACATTGTAAGCTCCTGTAAAATTCAAAGCAATTTACAAATATCCAATATATAATGATATAGAGTAAACATTTCCATTCAGCAAAATAGGGGCATTAGAAAGAAGGGATAAGACCAAAGTGAGACTGAAATTCAGCTGGGCAAATAAATTCTAGTGTTCTGTGTCTGGCATCTAGAGTACATCTTAATGTACTCTCCAAAGCACTTGGGTATCTCTGCCACAGCCTTATTAGTTGCAGCCCAAGTAGCCTTTCTGTTGGCTTAACTTCGCTCAATTCCTGCAGCCTTCCTTAGCGGGAATTCCATAGCACTGGCATTTCTTAAACTTTGGGGTCTCCACTGCAGTTTTGGTTTTCTCCTCACATCTCCATGTATCACCCTCTCAGGGGTTGCCTGCACGAACTCTGACCCTCCTATACTTTGCCTGGCCTCCCAGGCCTTCTTTTGAAATCTTGGTGGAAGCCTCCATGAACCCCTAACTCCAGCTTCCTACATTCCTGCAGAACCAGCACCATTGTTTTTGATGCCAAAGTCTGCTGCCATCTCAAGCCACAGCCAAGCCTTCTGGGACCCTGGGCCAGAAGCCTCTGAGGGCCTGAGTAGTTGAGCATGTTGAAGAAACTTCCTAGGTCCCCTTGTGGAAGAAGGTTACTCCTTTGGTCTCATGAGAATTTTCACTTTTACTCCCTTGAGCCTGAGGTGGGTGTGATCTTGCCAGTTCCTGAGGTGCCCTCAAGCCATCTTTCTCCTAGTCTCTGGAAAAAGTCTTTAGCATTTTTTTAGAGGTAGTAATGTCTTTAACAACTGCAAATTCCTTAGCCACAGTTTTACTCCCACCTTTCCAGTCCAAGTTTTAAAATATTTCTGCTCCACATTCTTCTCCTGAATATCACAATTAATTTGACTAAAAGGTGTCAGCAATATCCATGCCATGGCCCGAATGCTAAGCTATCTAGAAATTTCTTCTGCCAGATTAAGAAATCCATCACTTTTAAGTCAGCCTCAAAAAAAAAAAAAAGTCTCAGGATACAGGTAAAATACAGACAACTTCTCAGCCAGAACATAACATGAATGGCCTCTAGTCCAATTAACTTTTCCTATAGATCCTCTTGAGCACTGTTTTCACTGTCCACAGTCCTACTGGCATTTTGATTTTCTGAGCTCCCACCAGAATTTGCCATTAAGCTCTGCTTACGACAACCTAAAGCATTTTCAGCTAGCACTGCTAAACATCTCAAAATTTCTCTCAACAATTCCAAAAGCTCAACAATCTTTGAACCACATTCAGGTTAGTCACAGCAACAACACCACTTCTTGGTACCAATTTCTGTATTAGTCAGCTTTTTTGCCACTCTGACTAAAAGACCCAACCAGCACAATTATAGAGCAGGATAAGTTCATTTGGGAGCTAACAGTTCCATAGGTTTCAGTCCATAGAGAGCAGGCTCCTTTCCTTGGGGCTCAAGGTGAGGCAGGACATCATGGTGGAAGAGTATAGTGGAGAGAAGCAGCTCACATGATGATAAGAAAGCAGAGAGAAAGAGAGACTCCACTCTACAGATACAAAATATATACACCAAAGCCATGCCCAACCTCCTCCAGCCATACCCCAGCCTTCAATTACCACTCAATCCCATCAGGTGATTAATTCACTGATTGGGTTAAGGCTCTCATAACCCATTCATTTCTTCTCTGAATCTTGCATCGTCTCACACATGAGCTTTTGGAGGACGCCTCACATCCAAACCATAACAAACTCCCAGCTTATAAAAGGTTTTATAAAGTTTGACTAGAATAATGAAGTTAAATCCCAAGAGGGGCTATGGAATATATAAAATTAACCACTGTTGGACCTTGAAGAAAGATTTCATCTCCTAAATCCTCATCTATTTCCCCTCCACTTATTATTTATTCCTTCTTGAGTTGTATTCTGCAACAGACTTTCAATCCAGATACTATGGACCCAGATTACTAACAGCTTCCCCAACTGTTGTTAGTCCACATAATCTTGACAAATTTTCTTTCAAAATTGCTTTCACATAATTCTCCTGCTCAATTGTCCACAATGGTTTCCTAGTTCCGAATGCATTTAGATATTGTATATCTAAACTCTTCTGTCTAGCTTTAAGGTTAAAATTTGGCTCCATTCTTCCATCCATCATTGTCACCTTCAAGGCTAGGATAAGTATGAAATTCCTTTGCTCTTAGGATAGAGGTAAAGAAACAAGGGGAAAAAAACAGACACTGAAATCCCTAACAGCAAAAGTTTATTTACAGTTGAAGTTAAGGAATATTTTAATGCATGCTGAGGAAAACAGTAATATTTCAAACTTATAGGTTACTATCTAATACGGAATACAAGAGGATGCTGGGAAAGGCTTTGGCATACACAACTATTGGAACCAGGTTATAAGACACTTAAACACTATTAGAACCAGGTGATCAGAACACTTACATATATACTACTTTTAAGTCACACCAACTTCATAGACAGTTCACCTAACTCCTCACTGGCTATTTGAGTAAATAGCATTCAAGGTTAAACATTAAGACTGGGGAATAGAGAAGGAATACAGAAGTGGTACACATTACAACATTTCAGGGCCTACACATATTAATACAACATTAAGATTAATTAATAAACAGTGTTTTCATTTTTGTGTGAAATAGTATTCAGCAATGTTTAGCGCATGAGAAGACACTGCTTTGGTCCGTCCACTCTTTCCAGCTTTTCAAAATGTTTCCTGGCATTGCGGATGTTGATCAGAGTAGCTGCAGAAGCTGAAGGAAGGAGTGGGGAGATACATAACAGAATAAATATGGGGAACCAAAGGAGTGTTTAACTAGTAAACACTAGTAAAAACAAAACAGACAAAAGAGAGCCAAATCCTTCAATGTATGTCACAGAGAACATATAGGAAAAGGAACTTCCAGGTTATCAAGGTTTAATTTTTCTGAAGATCGGCTCATATTCTAAACACAAAATTTCTAAAATTTTGGTTTGGGACTAAACAATAAAACCCATTATTTTATGTTTTAATATTAGCCTAATGTAGGAAAAGCCAGTAGGTAATACATAATTTAAATTTCTAGAAATATTGCAGAAAGCTTTATCTCAATGTTTGAAACAGATAAGGCTATTACACTTCCCTTCATGCCCATAACAGAAAGATGGGAATGTAGCATAAAGTAATACACAATGACATAAAATTGTCCAGCATTTGAAAGTTTAGAGGTTATGTGGACCATCCTTTGAAAAATCTATAACACAACTCTAAAGTCTCTAAAGAAAGAAATTTAAGAAGACCTTAGAATGTGGAAGGACTTCCCATGTTCTTGGATAGGCAGAATATTGTCAAAATGGCCATACTACTGAAAGAACTATACAGATTCAATTCCCATTAAAATTTCAATGACATTCTTCATGGAAATAGAAAAAGCAGTCATGAAATTCTTTTGGAAAAATAAAAAGCCCAGAATAGCCAAAGCAATTCTTAGCGAGAAAAGCAAATTAGGAGGCATCATAATACCAGACCTAAAATTATTCTATAAAGATATAGTAACAAAAACAATATGGTATTCGTACCAAAACAGACATGAAGACCATAATGGAACAGAATAGAAGATGCAGAAACAAACCCCCCAAAATTCAATTACCTCATACCAGACAAAGGCACCAAAAACATACATTGGAGAAACAATAGCCTATTCAACAAATGGTGCTGGGAAAACTGGAAATTCATATGTAGTAGAAAAAAATTTAACCCCTATCTCTCACCCTGTATAAAACTCACCTCAAAGTGGATCAAGAACCTAGACCAGAGACCCTGCACATATTAGAAAAAATATAGGTCCAACACTCCAACTTATCAACTCAGGAACTGACTTCTTTAACAAGACTCCTAAAGCACAGAAGTAAAATCAATAATCTAAACGGGATGGCATCAAACAAAAAAGCTTCTTTATAACAAAGGAAACAAATGAGAGCCTACAGAATGGGAGAAACTCTTTGCCCCTGTACCTCAGTTAGAACATTAATTTCCTGAATATATATATAAACAACTCAAAAAAACTTAACATAAAAAAAAAACCCAATCAGTAAATGGGCAAAGGAACCAAACAGACACTTTACAGAAGAAATACGAATGGTCAACAAATATATGAAAAATGTGCAACATCACTAGTAATTAGAGAAATGCAAATTAAAACTACACTGAGATTTCATCTCACTCCAGTCAGAATGGCAACTATCAAGAATAGAAGTAAAAATAAATGTTGCTGAGGATATGGATAAACATTGCTGGTAAGACTGAAAATGTGTGCAACCACTCTGGAAGGCAATATGGAGATTCCTCAGAAAACTTGGAATGAAACCATCATTTGACCCATTCCTCATTACATATTCAAAGAATTTAAAATCAGTATACTACACTGATACAGCCACATCACTATTTATAGCAGCTCAATTCACAATAGCTAAGCTACAGAGCCAGCCTTGTTGCCCTATAACAGATGAATGAATAAAGAAGATATATACACAATGGAATATTACTCAACCATAAAGAAGAATTACTTTATGACATTTGCCAAAAACTGGATGGATCTGGAGACTCTCATGCTAAATTCAATTAGCCAGTCCCAAAAAGCTAAAGGTTGAATGTTTTCTCTGGTATGTAGAAGCTAACCCACAATAATGGGGGGAAGTGAGGGGAAGAAAAGAATTTCAGTAAATTAGACAATGAAGAATGGAGGGAAGGGAGGAGGGACAGAAAAAGGAAAGGAATGAATCTGACATAATTTTCCCATGTACATATATGAAAATAACACAGTGAATATCACCATCATGTACATCAATAAGAATGGGATCCTAACTAGAATAAGATATATTCCATGCTTATATAATTATGTCAAAATGGATTCTGCTATCATGTGTAACTAAAAAGAACCAATAAATAAATAAAATCTATACATATGAAGCATAAATCATGGATTTTGGTTCTCTTTAAAATTCCTTGATTTAGTCACTTGTTTTCTAAAGTTCCCATGAAGAAAAACACAATACCCTAGAGGCAAAATTGTTTTTCAGCTTCAAAATGTGTCTACCACTGTTACTTGTTTTTTTTTGTTTTTTTTTTTTCAGTGTGTTAAAATATACATGACATGAAATTTACAATGTTAACCATTTTTTTTTTTGGCGGGGATACCAGGGACTGAATTTAGGAGCACTCAACCACTGAGCCACATCCAGCCCTCTTTTGTATTTTATTTAGAGACAGGGTCTCACTGAATTGCTTAGCACCTTGCTTTTGCTGAGGCTGGTTTTGAACTCAGGATCCTGCCTCAGCCTTCCAAGCCACTGGGATTTCAGGTATGTGCCACCATATCAGCCACATTAACCATTTTAAGTGTATGGCTGAATGCAATTAAGCACTTTCATATTGTTGTATGACCAACCCCACTGTAAAATAATTTTAAAATATCTTGTACAATAATACCTCTAGGGCAATTGTTTAGAGAATATGTAGATTTGAAATTATGTCATCTTAAGTTTAAACTTACGAATGGATGGATCAGACATCACAACCATCACATAAGTGTTAGATGTAAAGATGTCAATGAAAGCAGCAAAGTTAGAGTTTCTGACTTCCATACTCTGGAAAGAGGCAGCCAGCTTGCTACAGAAGAAAGGAATAACATAATAACAATATAAGAAGTTCTTATCTTTTAGGTTAAACATTTTTATAGTATTATTATACCTTAATTTATCCCTTGAGAGTTTATAAGGAAAGTCTAAAATTGAATTTAACATGTTTCAGAGTGACTGGAATGAAAATTAGGCTAGGACTTCATATTGACTGAGAAATGAAAATAGGTTTAGACCTAGATCTATGTTGAAAAATCATGTTACAAATGACTTCTTTAATATTTAAGAAGCATCCTTATTTGGAATTTCCCTATCTTGGCAATTAATACTTATATCTGTTTGATGTTACATTTATATTCAAGAAACTACCCCATTTCTTTGAAAACAAACAAGGCAACTCTATTTGCTTGTTATTTGCTATTTCTTCTTCAAAATGTTAGCGTAAACACTCTAGAAAGTCTCAAAGTATACTAAGATGTAAAGTGGGTAAACTGATCCCCGCTCTCCAAGCATCAAGTTTTTATCAGGTAACAATTTGATTTTTAAATCTTTACTTATTTATGATATTTAGCCATTCATTTTCCCTCTATTTGTAATACCCAAGACTCAAATCTTATTTAATCAAACCAGATACATCATAATTTGACATTTCTAAACTCTCTTCTGTTATCATTTCTGAATCAGTATCTATTTTACTTACTATTGTTTTATAGTCAATTCTGTTATTTAGTACGGCAAATTCTCTTTCTTTCTTTTCAAAACTCTCTTGGATATTCTCAGTTTATTTCTTCCCAAATAATACTAAACACGTTGAAAGGGTATTTTGCTTGAATATTTCTCAGATGCTTCTGGATTAGTTGAGTTTGCATGAAAGGACAAGGATCTGTATTTTAGTCAACTGTAGGCTCCCTCAGAGTCAATTTTCTTTTTGATTAAAGCAACCATTGTGAACATAGAAGTTTAGTTAACAACTATAGTTATTTGTATTTCTCAAAAATGATAATTTTCCCAGAAATTAATGCATCATTCCTATAAGATCTCTTACCTGCAGCTCAGCTTGAATTGCTTAATAATGTTGCTGATTTTCTCAAATCTATGAGCATCACGCTGCTCTTTACACTGATAATGAGAAATCACCTGTGAAAATGAACATTGTTCTTTGAATCCATGCAAAATATTCATATAACCCTCTGCTGCTACTTGAAGTAGACATCTGTTAGTTTCTTGACCACCTGGTTTACCATCTTCTCCTGTCTGTATCATATCTTTGTTAAGACTACATGTGATTTCAATATCCATCCAGATGGTCTATTCAGTATTGTTTGGTTATAACTTCATTAGATCATTTAAGTATTCTACATATAGTCTTTGACTTATCATGGTTCAACTTTTGACTTTATAATGGTGTTAAAATGATAGGAATTCAGTAGAAACAATATCTCAAATTTTCCCATACTAGGGATATGTGATACTGACAAACTCTTGTGAGGCTGGGCAGCAGCAGAGAGCCATAACTCTCAGTTAACCATGAGATAGATTATAAGGGTAAACAACAGATACTTCTCAGTGTTACTTGTGTTGCTAGGCTATGATGTTTGGTACGTTAGGTGCATTAAATGCATTTTCAACTTATGGTGGGTTTATCAGGACACAAACCCATCCCAAGTCAAGGAGCATCTGTATTTTGGTTTACTGATATTCATTCTCAATTTTTAATTTAATTTTTAACTATCAATATTTAATCATTAAATATTCACCTTATTTCAATGTTTCACTGGATGATTTTTTATTTTAAAAACATACAAAACAAGGAAAATAAAATACATAACAACTCTTGAGGTTTAATTACTATATTTAAATTTAATGAAGTCTATAATCAAGTAGCTTTGGGAATTATATTTTAAAAGCTTAACTAGATAATTCTAACCATTGAGAACTGACTATTTTTAAATGAATCTATTCAGGATAAACACCAACACCAGCTGAAAATACTTTTCCTAACACTTTGAGATTTTAGTAAATCATACAAGTATCCTACAGGCCAAATGCAAAGTTTATAATAGGAAGCAAAACTGAGTCAATTACCAAAAGAAAATTCTCAGGGAAATACCCTGAGGTAACACGAAACTTTCAACATTTAATTTGTATATAAAGAGCAGGACAGATCCACATTGCTTGACTTACTCCCCTCAGTAAAAATGGTCAATTACATTTAAACTTTTTTTTAACTGTTGATGGACCTTTATTTGTTTATATGTGGTGATGAGAACCAAACCCAGTGCCTCATACATGCTAAGCAAGTGCTCTACCACTGAGCCACATCCCCAGCCCAATCACATTTAAACTTGGTCATCAAGAGAAATAAAAGCTACCTGTTACTGTCAGTGAATAATAGAGAGCTTACTAACATTATCTTCTAAGACCTTGTGTAGTAGATATAGCATGGTAATACTGCTGAAGCAGAGTCCTGTTGTGCCATGCACACTGAGACAGATGGAATGGTTTACTTGCTTGTTGCCATTCATACTAGCAGGAAAAAAAAACTGGTTCGGAGAAGTAATTTCAGGCACGTAACACATGCCACTGGACTGAGGCAGAAAGTCACTCTAGTTACGACTCCTTGCCTCAGCTATATCAGCTAGCAGGAAGAATGGCTCCACAGTGCTGCTATGGCTATAAGTAATGTTTCTACAAAGGAAAAGAGGAATTGTACTTTATATTTTCTGCCCTCAGTTGACACAGCAGCAAAGGGAACCAACATTTAATAGTTCACCTATTCTATGTCAAAGCTTGTGATAGATGCTTAATGTTACTATGCCCCATTTTAATGAACATGATAAACCTATGATACAGATAGTATTATCTCCATTTTAAAAAAGGGGAAACAAGCTCAGAGAGATTAAGAAATGTCTAAAATTACCAAGCAGTGGTAGAACTCAGAAACAAATTATTTACTGGGAGCTGCTCTTAAGAATTATATTTCCTAAGCTAGTTAACAATTACTTTTTTATGCAGTGTGTTGGGACATCTCAAATTATTTTCTATCACTGGTATTTAAATATTTTATTTATAAAGATAATACTAGCTTTGGCATCCTCTATTCAGGGCTATACAAAAAACAGTAGGGTCTAATACAGTTGCTAAGTTCAATTTATACAAAAAGTAACAGTATCAACATGCATCTTTTCCCCTTTAATTCTCCATCTGCTCTTAGCTATATCACTGAGTTGACCCTTACTTCTCTTCCAGTTTTCACCTTAGCCTTTTGGAGAAAAGGGAGGGAAGAGAGTTATCTCAAAAGGACAATACAATAAATTTCATAATAAAATTCAAGAGAAAATAGGAATACTTCATCACAAATAAATAGTTATTAGCAGAAATAATCTAAACCCTCTAATAGGGTATACCTGCAAAAACCTATGGTTTACTAGTTACAAAGGAGCTAAACACCAAAGGACTTCTTTCAGATCACTTGTCAACAATATTACTTTACAAATAGGGCTGAGTATGCATAAGTAATGACACAAGAGAAAAAGGTTCTTCCTAAAAGGGAAACATGCTGTTCTCTGTTCCTGAATAGAAGGTACTGTGTGAAATATATCTTCAGAACAAAAAGTTCTTACCAGAAAAGTAGCTCTCTCAAACAGAAGTACTTCATCAGCCTCAATAATTTCAGCAAAATTCCTTAAGTTCATTTCCAGCTGCTGAACATTGGGAATCAGTTGATAAACAATGCTGGACCAAGCCTAACAGAACAGAAGCATAATGTAATATTACTAACAGTTAGCCAGTCCCAGACCTTTGAAAAGAGTAAATAAACTATAAACCATCACATATAAACAGCAAAACATGATGACAATTAAATCCCAAACAAATACTGACATTAAATATAACACAAATGAAATGAGAAAATGAAGCTATATTTGATTTTTATCCTTGAATTGAATAGTTTTAAGTTCAAACACTTTTTTGAAATGCTGGAGAAACTTCTTTCCATTGATAATTAAAATTAAACAGGTGATTTAATGCCATTATGTTGCCTTAGGAAAAAAAGTAGCAAAATATGAACTACTCTGTTAAAAAGCTTCTAATCTAGACCTTCGACAAATATTTAAATCCAACAGTGCAAATTTCTTTAAAGATAAGAACCTAATAATGCTATATAAAACATATATCCAAGAATCAATTTTGTGAAAATATCAGAGCCACATGGACAAATGGCTCCTCCCCTCAGTGGTGTAATATACCATTACAAGAGAACCAGTGGTATTATCATTCCCAAAGGTTGTTGTCATGTGTAAAATTATTGATCCAACAGAATTTCAAAAGGTCCGTTGTGTTTGCCTAAAACTGACTTCATCCAGAGGAGTATGACTAATGTAAGCAGTTGAAATTATCCACACCCTCCCTCTAGTCTCTTAAGGCCCTTTTATTTGTATTTCCATTATAATACTTCCTTTACTTTCACTCCAATTTGTCTGGTTAGGTGTATTTTCTTCTTCTCTCCCCTACTAGACGGCAGGAATCTGATCTTAGTCATCTGGGTATGCAACAGCATCAAGTAGATAGGCAATGAGCGCTTGTTGAATAAAACTTAATATAAAAATTTAAGTCAGTTCTATGCAACATTGATGTAAGAGATAGTAGTGCCATGTCTCTGATCCATTTAGTTTTATTACTTAGGCATAGGGGTTCAGGTTCCAAATTCCCAGGTCGGTGTTAATGTCACTGCTGAATTTACCTTGGAGAAGGCACCAAAGCTAACCACAGCAGAGACATTGTCACTCACAGCAGTGTTGTGATTAGCCAATTGTCTTTGGTCGTGTTATGTATTGTCATCCTTCACACCGCAGTTGGTTCTTATCAGTGCGTCATGTCCATCCTTATTCACGGTTACCTGTTCTATGGGAATAAGGCTTTGAGAGAAATTCGGCCCATATTAATCTAGAACAGTACTTCCTAGACAGGTATCTCAAAATGATGTTATTAGAGTGAGGCTGGGTCAACATAATATTGGGGAAAAAAAGTGAATTAGTTTAAAAAAATGGCTATTTTTAAAGTCCAATGGCTTTTCTCCTTGGCAAGTCAGGTTTCTGTGCTTCTGGTTGTAGACACTTGTCAGATGCAGTTGATACTGAGGCTCTAGCTATCAATGACAGAGAAGGATCCTTTCTTTGCCACTCAAGAGTCAGACTTGTCAATGGATACCAGAAGCAGTCTGAAGGAAAGGTCTGACCACAGGAGGATCCAAAAGGAGACAGTCCTTAAATCAATAGATCAGTAGAAAAAAGGGAGGAAGCAGGAGCCTATGTGCCAATAGGTAATTTCAGCTTCATCCGTACAGAATTATTGTTATAATCGCTATAATTACTTCAAGCAGTGTGGTATCCATTCCAGCAAGGGGAACAATCCTGGTTGAAAGAATGTTGGTCTCCAATCTGGCATGAAAGTTGAAGCTACTATACTCTAGGAATAACATGTCTCGTCCTAAGATTCCCTTCTCCAATCTCTCCACTAAGTATTTTTCTTCTACTACTACCCAAACTTAGGTAGACTAGTTTATATCATATAGAGGTACCTGTATACAAGATACAACTCCAATTAGAATTGAGACCATGACAGTTCAAAATATATGATGGCCAGTGAGTAAAGTTTCTGCTTTCACAAAGTCAGTATCAAATTAATCATACCCAAACTGGCTAATTCAATATGATTTGGTAACAATGTTGACCCAATGTAGGATTAAAACCAAAATCTGTTAATGTTAAGTTTGGTATTCTTCAATTTGTTGCAGATTATTTCATTTTTTAGTACAACAAATCATGAAATTGTTTAAAATATTTCAATTTTGTTAATATTCTTCTAGCTCTTTTTCATGCTCTTAAAATGAGAGAACCCAGGAAACATACACACCTTATAGAGAGTTTCATCCCAGATAGATGTTCGGAAACAAGAACATTCCAATGGGCGAGACAAACGCCTCAGATCTTCTTCTCGCTCTTTAAAAATCTGAATTAAACAGTCCAACATACTGATCAGCATATAACAGTTCTCCTCTTTGATTGCAAAATCTAAGATGTAACTATTTCAACATGTTTTAATCAAAAGCTTTTGCTCCTTAAGAGGAATTTGGAATATGTACCTTATTTCACAAGCTAGAATGGCAGAAATTATCTCAGGACACGTGTAAAAGTGCTACTGGTTACTATAATTATTTAGACTTATACTGTGTGTGCTCTATACACGTTGAGAGCACTGTATTAGAAAATAAAATTCATTATATAGAGGAATCTTAAAAAATATCTAACACTCCAAATCATTAAATCTGGGCATTTCAAGAGTTATACTCATATCAAGATTTTGTAAATCAAAATATTTAACCTTTTGATATACATTTCTCTCAAATGTCTATTTATATGTACTATTTACATATGCACTGTATGTATTTCAACATATAGATATAACCCCCCACAAACATCTACCAATCTTGGATATATTTCTATGTATATATGCCCATATGTACATTGGAAAAAAATTGTTATACACAACCATTTTTCCATGAGTGGATGGATTGGGAGCAAGTGTATGATGGTTAATTTTTGTGTCAATGTGACTAGGCTGCAGTACCCAGGTATTTGGTCAAACATCAATCCAGATGTTGTTGTGATGGTATTTTTTTAAGAGGTGAAGTTTTAAATAAGATGACTTTGAGTAAAGCAGATTGCCCTCCATAATGTAAAAGAAAAAGTTTCACTACTGAGAAAAATGGAGCTCTACCTACAGGATGCCTTCAAACTCTTTAAGTACAACATCAACTTTTCCATGGATAGTCTCTAAAATTGAGTGAGCTAACTCCTTAAAATAAATCACTCTTCTTTCTTCCCTTTCTCAAATATCTCTACTTCCATAACCCTTCCCACCAACACACATTCTATTGGTCCTGTAATTCCGGAGAACCAAAATTCAGATTTTAGCATTGATAGGTTCTAGAAGAGAATTTTAAGGATGAGTCTCCTCAATTGGTTTTTGAGGTTTCTGGAATCATTTCTTTAATATGATTAGAGTTAAAGGTGTTAATAACTCTATTTCCAGTAGTAAAGATAGCAGTGAATAGTTCACAGTGATACATAAAATACTACCACTGAATACTTCTAATCAAATATGTACAAGGGTGACCATGTATATAACTTTGAATATTTTTTGTCAAAACAATGAGTGTGTAATGAGATTGGCTGACTTATACTAATTGTGCTGGACCAAATAGAGAAAGAAAAAAAATGAGCTCATAAATTTCAATCCCCAGTTTAAGCACCATATAAATAACCCCAAATTATCTATATTCACCCTAGAAGAAACCCATACCCTCTATAGATGCAGAACTGAGATAGCTGAAAACTAAACTTGGAATCTCATCCTGTGAGTGGATAAATCACAATGCATATTTAATTCCTAATTAAACAGGGTATCATCTGTTAGGGTGCTGACTGAAAGAATGGGATTCTAGAAATTGGAATAAGAGTCATATGGGAAGATCTCAATGAAGACTAGGACACTGAATTCCTAACTTCTCATGAGTCTTTGCAAATAGAAGCAGCCACTACATTGAGATTTAAAATTAACCCTACTTTGCCTCAGGGGAATGTAATGATATCCCCTGAGGTAGCTGTCTTACAACAGACCTGACTTACCATCACCATCTCTCTTAGGGTTCTAATGGTTTGGTTGCTTGGCTGAAACATGAACCCCAAATGGCCTATGCTAAGTGAAGCTGAAATACCTGACCTGCATTAGTATATAAGGGAAGGTATCCAAAGGCTTAGGGAGACTGGAATGTTCAAATGGATTTGTCATTTAAGACCTACTTACCAATCTTGGGAGGTGCCAGAAGAGACCTTTCACCATGACTGTGAGAAATAAATTTGTGAGAGGAGCCCAGCTTCCTTCCCTGCTCTGATCACTCTTCTCTGTAGGCCAGACCTGACAGTGGGAACTGCTGCCACTGAATTTGGGAACCTAAATGCAATGGTGGCAGTTGGATCCTGAAGTGGTAGGAGCAAGGTGGAGACACTCACCAAATGCAAGGTAGGTCTAATCTGACAGAGTAATCTGACTGAGACCTATGGTGTTTGCTAGTTGATCATGGTGGTACTTAGAAGTGAAATAGATGGGATATCTACTAAATTCCCACTTCTTCTATATAAGTAGAAGAGTCTAAGTCAAGTGGTCCAAAATCTAACTTGAACCATAAGAACAGAGTCAGGACCCCTCAATAGACTTGTATTAGTTTACAGACCTAGAGCATCTTGAATAAAGAGAAGGGTGGGTCCAGGTAAGGAAGGACCCCACTATACTGCCCAAAGTTTATACTATTATTTTTCCTCCCTGCCTCCTCCAAATGAACCTAAGACCTTCTACAAGGGTAACTGTGCTTTGGGGAAAAGGAAAGGATCCAACCTTTGGGGGACGACTGAGCACTGGCTCTGAAATTCCAGGAGACACAAAACATTACTATAGTCCACTAGTCAAGAGTAGGAAAGTTGGTAGTTGTAGTGGTCAACTTGATAGGATTAAGAGATGATGAGGATTAAGGAGTTTATGGGTCTGTCAGAGAATGACTGACATGTGAGAGAGCCAACCAAAACAGAGACCCTCCCTAAGCATGGGCAGCACCAACCAATAGGATGATGGCTTGGATGGAATAAAAGTTGGAAGAACAAGGAAGCAGCAGCAGATGCAAACTCAATTCTTCTGGAACGGGTTTTTGACTGCTGCTGTGATCATCTGAGGATATGGGACTCTAGCTTCTTTACTCTTCCAAAGTGGACTCTGCCAGTGATTCTCCAGAAGCCTTCAGTCTCAGACTAGGATTACACTGTTGATCCCTCCTATTTTGAGGCTTTGGCCTCTTGGACTGTGCAGCTACTGGTTCTTCCAGCTCTCCAGCCTGCAGATGGCCACTGTGGACTATCCAGCTTCTGGTCACATGAGCCAACCTAATAAATCCCTTTTTATAATCATACTACCTGGTTCTTCATGCCAGTAGCATATGCTTGTCTCAAAGATCAAGCCATTCATGCCTAAGTATACGTGGCTGGTACAGCAATTCTGTACAGCATTGCTTTGGACCAAGGAACTCACTTCACAGCCAAAGAAGTGAGGCAATGGGCTCATGCTCATGGGATTCACTGGTCTTACCATATTCCCCACCATCCTGAAGCAGCTGGTTTCAAAGAATGATGGAACGGACTCTTGAAGTTGCAGTTACAGCACCAGTTAGGTGGTAATACATTGCAGGGCTAGGGCAAGGTTCTTCAGAACCTTCAGAACACTCTGAATCAGCATCCATTATATGTTACTGTCTCTCCTATTGCTAGAATTCACAGGTCCAGGAATCAAGGGGTGAGACAGGAATGGTACTACTCATTCATCATTACTCCTAGTAACCCACAAGGAAAGTTTTTGCTTCTTCCCTGCAACCTTATGTTGTGTAGGCTTAGAAGTCTTACTTTCAGGAGAAATGCTTCTGCCTGGAGATACAACAATGATTTCATTAAACTGGAAGTTAAGACTTCACCATGGACACTTGGGCTCCTCATGCCTCTGAGTCAACAGACTATGAAAGGAGTTATGGTACTGGTGGGGATGATTGATCCAGATTATCAAGGGGACATTGGACTGTTACTCCACAATGGAGATAAGGAAGCATACTCCTGGAGTGCAGGAGATCCCTTAGGGTGCCTCTTGGTATTACTCTGTCCCCTTATTAAGATCAATGGGAAACTACAACAACCCAATCCAGACAAGATGACAAATGTCTTAGACCCTTCAGGAATGAAGGTGTGGGTCACACCTCTAGGTAAAGAACCAAGACCGCTGAGGTAGTTGCTGAAGGTAGAGGAAATACAGAATGGGTAGTAGAAGAATGTAGTCATAAATACCAACTATGGCCACATGACCAGTTACAGAAATGAGGATTTTAATTGCCATTGACAATTCTTCCCTATTCCACTAAGAATATGTTTGGGCATATTTACAAATGCATTAAGAGGAAATAATTGTTACTCTCCTGTTATTCATTCTGTAAAGTAATATTGATTGACTTAACATTAGTAGTGTTTTTGTTTATTCTTCTATTCTGGGGAAAGAACTAGTGTATTCGGTTGTAGGAAGGATAGTTATGTTAGGTGGAATTATAACCTTGTTGTGTTTATTTGGAGATTAAGTATGATGTAAAGAGTCATATTTGGATATCAAGTTGACAAGGGGGTGGATATTTGGATTAAGAGATGCTGAGGATTAAGGGGTTTATGGGTGTGTCAGTGAGGATGTGTCTAGGAAGGATTGACATGTGGTATAGCCAACTGAAATGGAGACCAACGAATAGGATGATGGCTTGGATGGAATAAAAGTTGGAAGAACAAGATGCAAGCTCAATTCTTCTGAAACGGGTTCTTGACTACTGCTATGATCATCTGAGGATATGGGACTCTATTTTCTTCACTCTTCCAAAGTGGACTCTGTCAGTGATTTTTCTGGGGCTCAGCCTATGGACTGTGCAGCTACTGGTTCTTCCAGCTCTCCAGCCTGCAGATGGCCATTGTGGACTATCCAGCTTCTGGTGGCATAAGATAACCTAATAAATCCTTTTTTATAATTATACTTCCTGTTGATTCTGTTCCTATAGAGAATGCTAATACAGTGGTCAATAAAGTTTTAGTTCAGGTTTGTCTCACAGTGGGCCCATGGTTCCCCAAACCATACTGTGGTTATATCCCAATTCCAGAGTACATATTTGGAACAGACATACTCAGCAACTGATTGAATCTCCACATTGGTTCCCTTATCTGTGGTGTGATGGCTATTATGGCAGGAAAAGTCAAGTGAAAACCACTAGAACTGCTTTTTCCTAGGAAAATAATAAACCAAAAGCAATACTGAATTCCTGAAGGGATTGTGGAAATTACTGCCACCATAAAAGACTTAAAAGATACAAGGTTACCAATTCCCAC